AATTCTTTCTACGCGGGAAATAGAGGAAGCTGGGACCCGCGTGGGGCGGGCGGGGGACCGCAGGACCCGGTGCATGTGGTGGGGAGATGTCTGGTGGGAATCAGAAACCAGCGTTTTCTTCTTAGCTTCGCCAAAGCCCCTTGAACCGTCCCCTGCTCGCGCGTACGTAGAGTCCGGATCCGGAATTGTCGTGCCGGCGGCTGAGCCTTCTGGGGGAGACCTAGCGTGGTCTCTCATTGAGGAGAAGGTCCAATGCCCCTCCGCCATCCCTTGCCCCCTTCTAACTGCCCTGGGACAAAATTCCTTCTAGGCGCCAGAGCAAATACCCTCGGGGGAGGACGCACAGAGTGGAGCACGTTTTCGTGTAAAACGAAACACTCTTCAAATGAGCACTCTTTCTCAGTTCAAGAATATTTTTCCCGGAAAAAGCACCGGTTAGTTGGTAAACTACAGGGCGAATTCAGACTGTGCCGTTTATGAATATGTTTGGCCCCAACTCCAGCACCCTCTTTATTTCTTAGAGGGCGGAAACAAAATAATCTCGGTTCTTGCACCAACGCTCTTTACACTCTGCGGGTCTAGACAAAGACATTATTTAACTGGACGAGGGAGTTCTCTGCGCTTCTCTCCTCAGCTGGGCACACAGATTTTTGCGTTCAGGGGGACTCTCGTCGCTTTCCTTTTTCTGGGAGAGGTGGTCAAGGTGCGAGTGTGCGCAGGGCTCAGTGGAGTTGTGCAAGTGCTACTCTACGCCTCCGGTCGAAGCCCGAAGCCGATTAAACCGGTTTATGCTGGGTTAAGATGGGGTTTAGGTCCTCATTAAAGTCCACAGCATAGAGTTTAAGAGGAAATGATGAAATGGTGCTCCCTGAAACATCTCTTCTTTAAATTTAATTAGACAAATTATACTCAAACTAGTAGATGCCCTGGGAAGGCAATCAACATTAGGGCTAATAAAAAGCTTGAATAGTATAAAAGGGCTGGAGGAGGTATTGTAGAACCTTTCTAGCACTTATGAGAGGTAAATTAACACCAATTGCTAAACATAGAAACTGGATAAATTTCAATATTCATTTAGAAATTAATTTTATGATGCTGTCCTAAGTATTAAAATACAGGTTATACTTAAATCATTCAAAGTTTGGCATGTTCACACATGTGCACAAAGTATTTGATAGATATTTACACACTGGGAGACACAATTATGGTCTGACTTTGGAGTTTTGGCAGATCTGGGTTCAAATTCTGGCAAGTTTCCCTACTAGCTTTTTTTGGGTGCGTGTGATCCGAACCCTCGGGCGGGAGCGCCGCCGCGCTTCCCAAGCGGCGCACTATCCAGTGCGCCACCGGGCCGGCCCAATCTTGCATTTAATTTTGGAGAATTTCACCCATTTGTTAGGCCCTGAACTGGGAAAAAGGGGAGGTGGATACCTGGAAGAATTTGTTGAGAAGTCTGACTTTGGAATAAATACAAGTAGGAGTGGGAGAAGGAAAAGCACAGAGATGCCCGCCATCACCATCGGAGGAGCGCCATTCAGTGACAGGCAGACGCTGGCTCTTCGCGCGAAGCAGCAGGTACCATTTTCGACTTGTTCCGGAGCTCTCTGGACCACAAGTAGGAGTGGGAGAAGGAAAAGCACAGAGATGCCCGCCATCACCATCGGAGGAGCGCCGTTCAGTGACAGGCAGACGCTGGCTCTTCGCGCGAAGCAGCAGGTACCATTTTCGACTTGTTCCGGAGCTCTCTGGACTGAAAAGCCACAGACTCAAACACCTTTGAAATAATTTAAACCAAGTTGTGAGTTTTGGAAAATTCATGTGCGAATTTGCGTTAGTTCCTGGATGTTGGGGGAGAGGGGAGGAAAAAGATCAGTGCCATTATTATCCATGCAAAAATAAATTTCATGTTTATTGATGTCTCTTAAGGCAATTGACCAGAAAATATCTCCATGGGTAAGTAACGTAAAGGGTGCTCCATTGACAGCTAATTGACTTATTTATATTTCTGTTTAGCCTGATGCCTATTTCTCATTTTTGGAGAAGCTGTCAACTCTGACAAATGAAGGAAAGTGGAAGCCAGAAGAGAGACACCTGCAGCAAGTGCTGGAATTCCAAGACTCACCCCACCAATCTGTTCTTTAAAAAGTAGGTTACTTGGATCCTATTTGGTTATCTGAGATCCAGCAGTTGGATTTTCTGAAAGTAAATCCCAAAAATGAAAATTCACTCTCATTGTCTTCCACAAGCATTTTAATTTCTGAGTGACCTGGATGCAGGAACCATGGAGCAAGAATCCTTCCTGCTGTAGCTATAGAAGATGGCTTAAAAGCTGAAAACCTTCAGCTGATGGTTAGTCAAGCAATAACTTAAACACACGGAGAAAATTTCTAGCTGCAAGAAAAGAAGAAAGGCCCCAAGTGAAGTTATAAAATTTATATTTGTACAAAAATCCTTTGAACAATTATTTGACAGTAAATGTGTTTTTCTGGTTGTTGATCTAAATTTCTCAGCAACTCATTGCATGTGTGAATTGTGAGACTCGTTTTTGGCAGAGATGATTGATGGTTCTTTTAGGAATCCCTGCTTTAAAGTTGATTTTTTTGTGTTGGTCATGGGAGCTGCTTCACTTTAGATACTTTATGTGATGGTTGTCAAGGGAACATTGGGTAAAAATTTTCAGGAGTGTCTCTAAAAACATTATTCATAATTAAAATGTGATTCATAGAAATCACCAGAAAAATTATGGCACATTATATTCAAACATGTTTTTATGCCATGTGGAATAAATAAAATCATTATGGTCCGGTTGGGTAATACTGCCTCCCAGCCTTCCTCTGACCATGCCAGGACGACCTGATATAGTGTCACAGATTTAAGAATAGTCTGTGTAACATGAGCCAAAAGACCTTTGCATTTTCTCCAGGTACTTTCTATACTGACAATGCAAGTTATAATTCCATTCTTTTAAAGGCCTCTGAATAGTATAGTCCAAGGTGGCACTAAAAGGAGTAGCTTCAATAACCTCAGGATATTTTAAAGGGGGATAAAGACTGTGGAAAACCCAGGCTGCCAGTGAGCTCATTTGGGAGATTGTGGTGCTAACAACACCAAGATCAAGAGTTCAGATCCCCGTACTGGCCAACTGCCAAAAAAAAGGGGGACAGGGGAAGACTATGGGAAACCTCGCATAATATAGTCTAAAAGATAGAATTAATCCATTGGAACATAGACCTACCTCGTCACAGGCCAGCTGATGTGTGACAGATTTTTGGAAGAGCAGTACATGGAGGTCCCAAGGTATTAGTACCAAGCCCTTCAACTGGTAGCTACGTGACTATGAAACCCTTCCTGGTAGAGAAATAGGGCAGGGCTTATCAAGTCTATTTAATGGCCTGCACCAGTTAATGCAGCTTCTGAAGGCATTGAGTTTGTCTAATTTGCCTTGGGCGTTGGTGGACTGTGACAATATATGTTAGTGGCTAATATTTATGCAGAGCATCAGCATTTAACAGGGCAGTAAACTTACTAAGTAATCCAAACTGAGGCAGTTGCGCTTGCTAAAATAACGCTCCCACTTACCTACCTAAGAGAATAGATGCAATCTCCAGCCCTGAGCAGGTCACTTGGGGGCATGATTTAGTCATTTTAGTTCTCTTCATGGTCACTGGGCTGGTGCAGTGACTAACCTGGCGTGAGAAGGTGGCTAAAGCAGATTGAGGGTTGCATGTTCTGAGTACTCATTTTCATGTGCCATCCAGAGCTGGACTAAGTTGGGAGCAGCTTGTCCTTGATGCAACAGAAGGAATGCAGTTCTTTGGACTGGAGAGTCCTCATGAACTGCTACTCGTACACATGCTGTTACCCATTTAAGAAACATTCGTCCCGTGGCCACAGTGTGCCAGGCGCCAAACCAGGCGTTTGCATGATAAAAGTGAGTTCCTTCCATTGAGGCGTTCTTGGTTCTGACAACATCTTTGACTGAGAATATGGCCTGTTCATGTGTGTTAAGGGTCTTAGAAACATCCACAGCTTTTTAACCAGTAATTCTATTTCTTGTTATTTGTCCTATGGAAATCGTTTCTAATACCCTCCCCCACTCAAAAAAAAAAAAAGAAAAGAAAAGAAAAAGCCTTTTTTGCATGAGTATTTGCATAAATGGTTAAAGGTGCAAGCTTTGGTG